GAAGTAGGATTGTCAGGACGCAACAGTCACGTTGATTCGCGGTGTTGAGATCCCAGGAAGGATGTTTGGGCACGGATTAAGACTGTCAGGGCGCAAAAGTCACGTTAAATGGCGGCGCTGCAGTCCCAGAAATGGTGTTTTGGCGCGACTGCGGATTCTCAGACGGCTGTCTTCCTATGGGGCATTTCCCCAATAAAAGCGAATTCTCGCAGGTGCCTGTGACGAGGGAAGCTTGAGGGAGAGCTTATTGCAACATCCTTGATGTGTCTCGGGGGTGTGCAGGCCCTCCTCCTCCTCCTCCTCCTCCTCCTCCTCCGCCTCCGCCTCCGCCTCCTCCTCTTCCTCCCCCTCCTCCGCCTCCTCATCCTCCTCCTTCTCATCCTCTGCCCCCTCTTCCGCCTCCTCCTTCTCGCCCTCGTCCTCTTACTCCTCGTCCTCCGCCTCCTCCTCCTCCTCCTCCACCTCCTCCTCCTCCTCCTTCTCCTCCTCCTCCTCCTCCTCCTCTTCCTCCTCCCCCTCCTCCTGTTCCTCCTCCGCCCCCTTCTTCTTTTGCTCCTCCCTCCACGGAGCGGTCACGGCGGCTCTCGCGGGCTGCGGCGGGGCCACCCTTCCCCGAGAGCACGAGGATCTTCCTCTTCACTCCGCTCAGTTTCTCCTCCGAGGAGGAAGACGAAAGAACAGGAGGAGGAGGACGACGACGACTACGAGGAAGGAGGAGGAGGCGGAGGAGAAGGAAGGAGCAGGAGCAAGACGGAGCAGGAGCAGGAGGGAGCAGGAGCAGGAGAAAAGGAGCAAGAGGGAGGAGGATGGTAAGGAGGAGGAGGAGAAAGCAGGAGCAGAAGCAGGAGGTGGACGAGGCAAGGAGGCGCAGGAGGCGACGGCGGACGCAGTAGAGGAGACGATGACGAAGAATAAGAAGAAGGTAAACTAAAAAGAAGATGACTGATAAGACGAATGAGAAAAAAACAAAACGAAACATGAGAAAAGAGGAACAGATAATGATCGCCTTCGCCAGCCCAACGGGCGAAAGGCGTGCTAGAATCTCCGACCTGAAGTTCAAAGTATGTACAATACTAGTCCGCGCGCGCGTGGAAGCCCCGAGAGGTCCCCGGAGGAAAAATGCCGGGGGCGACTTCCGGGCAACCCCTGGACAGCTCGGGTCAGGGATCGTTTTGCTCCTGAACGCGGCCCAGGTCCAAGCCCAGCTGGGGCGGCCCAAGCCAGGACCCTCACCACAGCCCAAGCTCGGGACGGCCTCTGGGCCGATGGAATGCGTCGTCGTCGTCGTCACCACAGCCCCAGGATCGTCCCAAAGGACCTCCAGGAGAGCCCCAGAGCTGCCTGGGTGACCGAATCAATGCGCGGCACGCCCGCCGATGCCCCCAAGACAACCCTGGGAGGCCCAAGGTAGCCCCGAGGTGGCCCAAGATGGTCCAAGACAGCTCCAAGACGCCTTCATGAGGCAAACAAATCGCTCAAACACACGTACTTGTTCGTTGAAGTTGGCTTTCTTACCCTGTGGCTTCCCATTGGGTTCTGAGCCTCAGCATGGCTCCAACAAGATCTCCCCTAAGTCGGGCCTGGATGGGCCCCACGGGGCTCCGAAGACCTCCAAGAGCCCCATTATTAGAGGTTTAAGACAGCGTCAAAAGGGCCCCAAGAGGGCAGGGCGGCCCGAGAGCGGACACCAAGCGCTCGCAGTCCCCAAGAAGACCCCGAAACAATCCCAAGATGCCCGCAACGCAGCCCCAAGAGGCCCCAAGAGGCCCCGAGTTAGCCCAATCCCAGGACGCCTCCAGGAGGCCAACACCTTCCAGGTGTAGACACGTATACACACATCCAAGACTGCACATTATCATAATAAGGGAGGCAAACTAGGCGCGTGGCTAAAGTCAGATTCTGCGATGCGTATTGCTGTTGTCGCTGAACTCTCAGACTCAGGAACAATTATTGTTGATCCCCCCTCCGGTGACCACTGCATTTTTTCAATTGCAATGCTTCTCCCGCGGTTGGCACCCTGTTTTTAATCAGGGACAATCACTAAGCTCAAACTGTGCCCCCACCTCGGTTTACAACAACAACAACAACAACAACAACAACAACAACAACAACAACAATCACTTTACCCGAACGCTCAGTGTTCTCACCAGTGCCAGGGTTTTCATGCGACGCCAGCCAATACCCCCACTTTGAGGGGGGGCAGTGCAAGCTCTACCAAATATCCACACGACTCTTCGCCACCACCCACACCCAGCTTCCCGCCCTATGACGTTCGGACACTTCACTTCGTGGCCTGCGGACGACCGTGGCTACTACACTGGCGCGGAGTACACACCCACAGAAGTTGTTAAGCCTACGTTCGTACACCCACAGATTCGGACAGCGCGCGCGGGTAGAAATTTTGAAAAGTCGTGCAGGTGTTTTTCGAGGACCTACGGTGCGATTCGTGTGATTTTAAGATGCGCGGTGCTAAAATTCTTAAGAAGCCCAATGGTTTTTGGAGATTTCGGCGTGCGCGCGCGAAGAAAAAACGAATGTGTCCCGCATGGTATTATTTGACAGGGATGATGGCCCTGGCAGGTGCGCAACCGTTGTCGCAGAAGTTCGAAAAAGTTGCTCGCAAAAGCCCGTTTGACAGAAATGTTATAAAAGTGTTGGTTTTCCTACGAA